AGCCAGCCGATGTGTTTGCCATCGGCTCTGGGCACCGCTGCCCCGGGGCTGGGGAAAGCCGTGGGGAAGCCCATTCCCCCCAGCGCGCCCGTCTGGGGGTGCAGGACTGCAGCTCCGGGGAGCCCCGTGGCCCCTCGGCTGGGGAATAGCTCGGGTCAGGATACGGCCTCACCCTCCAGCCAGGCCAGCTTCGGCCGTTCGCTTAGGAGCCGTCGAAGCGAGGAAGGGAGGGCAAGAGGGCGAAGCAAGGGGGTGCACCTGGTGGGGTCTCCGGCAGGCCTCTTCCCAACACCTGCAGCGCGGCTGCGTAGGGCTGCGAGCAAGTCAGTACAGAGCCATTAGGGCTAATTTAATCAAGACGGATGGCCCAATTGGAGGGCTGCCGCCCATAAATCCCACGCTCGCACTGCATTAGTGTCAGGGCTCCTGGAAGAAGAGGCTGAGGGGGAGGCGAGGGGGGAGCGGGGATGGGGAAACGTGCTAAGTCACCCGTCCTTCCCGACGGCACGGGGCCGCTCGGGCCGGGTGCCACCACCCAGGTGTGCTCCCCCTCCGGTGGGATTTTGAGCAGCCAATTTTTGCTGAACCCCAAAAGGTGCAGGGTTGTTCACAAATCCCCCATGTCAAGGCAGGGTTTTGCTCCCACGGGAACCTCCCCTGCTTGGCCCAAGGGGTTTTGCAGCAGGAGGGAGACGGGGTGCCGGGGGAAATAGGGCTTGAAGCCCCATGGTAGGTTACAGTATGATAACTGGGACTCAAAAGTACAAGCTGAGAGGAAGACTCAAGGCTGATGGATGCAGCATCCATCCCAGAGCCCAGCTGAGACACCCCAAACTCAAGCCATGCCAGCTTGCCGCGGGGCTGCGGGATGTCCCCGTGGCGTGCCAGCCTGCTTTCCCGGCTCCCCGCTCCCTTCCCACCTCTGCTCCTAGAAAGGTCATTTTCAGGCTCCGGGTTGCCATCTGATGACCCAAAACAGCCGTGTCCCCTTGTCCCCATCTGCTGGGTGCGGGCAGCAGGAGACACGCATGCCACTGCACCGCACAAGCCAAGTCAGGAAATAAGCTCTCATCTATCAAAGTTAAAAATAGCCATTCTCTGTGCCATTAACACGCCTTGCCCCTGACTCTCCGGCCGAGCTGGCTCCCGTCTTGCTGCCCACCCGCGCTCTGAGGCCGCCGTGCTCCCGGCCGAAAAACCGGCCGTGGGAAAGGGACCGGACGGCTGCCGCCATCTGCTCCGGGCACTGGCATCACCCGCCGGTGCGGGTGCCGGCTCTGCCAGGCCACGCTGTTGGCCGGCGCAGCAGTGCGGAGGGCCAAGTCCCGGCAGGTTTCAGGAAGACAACGGGCCAGGGGATGCGGCGGACGGATGGGAGGATGGCGTGGGTTTGTGGGCATCGCTCTCACCCCCAGAGCGTTCATGGAGGCTACGTGATCACGCAGCAAAGGAGAAAACAGGGTGCTGGACCGGTGCAGAAGAAAAGATACTTGTGTGATAGGGATGGGGGTTTACCGGGGGGATCTCAGCCTGGGACAAGCAGCTGAGGACATCAAGGAGCAGTTGGATGACGGAGAGGTGGATGCTCAGACCTAGTCTCCATGTCCAGGGCATCTCGAGGTCTACGCCAGCAGCCGGTTAGCAGGGAGCGCAACCGAAACAGCTCAGGGAAGCTGAACTCAGGGCACGAGGAGCAATGAACGGTGGCACTGCTGTAGACTTATCTGGAAAAAGGAGAGCACACATCCCTGCACACCTCTGGTTTCTGGCTGTGCTTCAGTGTGGCCAGGAGGGAGGGAGGGCAGGGAAGGAGCAGGACTGCCGGCAGGAGGAGCACAGCGGCCGAGGTCAGCGCTTGCGGTGCTCTTATGAGACCACGCACAAGGCCCTGGGGACCAGAAAGTGCTGATGGGGGCAAGAATTGGCCACCGCTCTGCAGGGGTGCAGAGCAGCTCTCTGCAAGCTGGGTGCGAGCAGCACTGTGCCCAGCAGGTCCGTCTCCCCGGGCTCAGCACCTTTGCATCCGCTCGCCTGGGAAAGAAAAGCAAAGGCAGGATTGGGCCTGAGGAACCA